AATGTTTCACGTGTACAGCGAGGTACCACTCGCGAATGCAATTTCGAGTCGAGATTTTTAAAACAAAATCTCGCGGGATCGGGATTGCATTACCTAGCACCTATTTGGTGAAAATAGATGTTTTTATTAATATACGTGTAACATAACAATTGCCAATGAATAATTCCAGGAAATCCTGAACGAAACAGACGTCCCGGAGAAGGATTTAGTGCGCGCTCTGCAATCTCTGGCGATGGGCAAACCCACACAACGAGTGCTTATCAAACATCCTAAAACCAAGGAAATAGAGCCCTCTCATCAGTTCTACGTGAATGATGCGTTCACTTCGAAATTGCATAGGTAATTGCACTATTCCCTCTCTTACATGAACTACTATTTTGTCTCTTTCTGTCATATTGTGTTTACGCTGTGATGAAAAGAAACAGAAGTACTTTAGTTAAAAGATTGCAATCAGACTTATTTTTGTTGTGTAATGTGTTATTCACAAGACGTCCAAAGCTACAAATAATATACGAAACAGCTGAAATAAATATAGAGTCTTAAGGGGAGAGGAATGACTATGATTTTTATAGTATATTTCATTACAAGTGCGGAAAGCCTGTCATTGCAAAGAGTTTCGACAAATGTCTACCCGAGCCGAGGCGCAGCCGAAGGTGAGGGTTGACAGTCGGTACAAGTTGCAATGACGGTTCCGCACGTGTACTGAACAACTATTTTTCATACAGTTGTGAAAAAATTATGCAATTTAATAAAATAATAAAAAAACAATAAACTCAACTCACTAATCATTTATTTCTTATACAAATTATTGTTCACATATATGTGGGCGCAAATTCATATATAATGATTATATTTTTACAAACACATAAAGATTGGTATTTATTTCAAGTAAGTATTTATTTGCTTCTATTATATATTTATATATGGGCGCAAACTCATATATAATGATTATTTTGTTACATAAATATAAAGATTGATATTTAATTCGAGTAAATAAATATATTCAAGATAATAATAAATAATATTAAGGATTGATAGTCTGTGGTATATTCATAGCATTTATTATTTATGTTTAAGGAATGGTGTTGATCAGCTGCTATTGTCATTCATCAACATTTGGTAATATCGGGGTAAAATTAGTTCAAAACCGTTATATGGTTTATTTTATTTACCATTATTAATGGATCTGCAAATTAACGACTATTTGATAGTCTGTAGTCTTTATTATAAATATTAAAGAAATTGTGTTAGTGTCAGCTGTCATTGTCATTGAATAATGTCAAAGTCGAATTGGTTCGAGGCCGTTAATACGAATGGTTTATTTAATTTGTTAATGTTGCTAGATCTATAAATTAACGACTATTCAATGGTTAATAATAATAATGACTCCATAGTCATTTATTATTATTATTGTTAAAAGGAGTTTATCATATTACTTTAAACATTTTAAACCTATTGATAATAAATATTAATCTTTGACACTCGTTTCTATGACTGCCGTTTGACTCTGTGGTCGATTCGGGTTCGGTCGTGGAACGAGTACACGAAATGTTACGAAACTTGTTTATCACAAATTCTGGTTGCTATATATATGGGAACTGGTGGGTGCGGCGCTTAGTTCTGTTGAGCGGCCGAACCAATCAGAAGCCTTTAAAAGTGGACTTTAATGTCGAAAGTAAATGGCTGGTGCCAACAAACTAATTTATGACGACAGTATTGCTGACGTCATTATCTTCAACAATTCATCGTGGAGTCTGGACAATATAATTACGGCGTTCAAACGCCGACATATACATTGGTACAGTTTTTTATACTAACTGGAGAATTTTTAGGTTGCATATTTATTTACTGTTTGAGACAAACTATTATTTATTTCGTATGATTTTTCATGTATATTTAATATATAATATAACAAACAACTAAACGCGCAAAGAACATTTATGGAAAATAGCGCCAACCGTAAAAGAATATAAGCAGATATTTTTTTTTCTTCACCCATTCTGGGTAGGCAAAGGGAACTATGCCCATACAGCCAAGTCTTCAGTACAATTTTTTATTGATATGAAATGAAATTTAAGGAGATGAAATGAAATCTAACCTAACTCATTGAATCAAATCATTAAATCTTATATTGAAACAAAGCAGTAGCTTCTTTTTAGAAATATTTGCATGAATCATAAAAATTTCTATGAATTTTTTTTTAGTAAAAACTTCGTGGTTGGTTTTTTCTTTTTAATAGACATTATTTTGACAGTTGGGAAAGAAAACGCACTAGTTCGGAAAAGGTAAAAAAAAGCATGAGTGTGTAATAGCCCACATCCCGAACGCTATACGTCCCTGCAATACGCCACTTTTTGAGCAACTGTATTAAAAAATTATGTTAGGGATATGATTGGATTGTGATTCCAAGGATACATCTTTTGGAAGAGTGAGGGTCCCATACATTTATTTATGTATGTGTTATACTAACGGAATAATTATTTCCCCAAAATTAGGGTAAAAATCCAGACAGTAGCGGCGAAGGGCGAGTCGGAGCCGGAACGACGTGAGACTCGTAACAAAGTGGATGAGGATCGCAAACACGAGATTGAGGCCGCTATCGTGCGTATCATGAAGGCCAGGAAGAAAATGGCGGTATGTTTCATTTCTTTAAGTAGTTTTTGTATTTAATAAACTTGTGTATCTTCTATGAAAAATAATAATAATAACTTTATTTACGACAGAAATATGGTTGTAACAAAATTGATCTTAGTTTAATCAAGTAAAAGTCGTATAAGACCTAAGAAGTACGTGAATGTATGAGTATGTGAATGGGTGTGCGTATATAACACTCTGTATTTGAGACTGGCTAAGAGTTGTTATAAACGTGCGCTGTGTCTGTGTTAGTTTTTAGAACCACAGAGCCGTGGTATATGCAGTAATAATATTTCCACATAGTTTTTTTAATGAAGGCAAAGTTTGGATTTAATAATTCTCGTAAAGTTTAATCTTGCTTTCAGAAACGATTTTAATTAACAGTTGATCTAGAATAGTTTTTTTTTATTTTTATATATTTGTTTTCCTTGAGAAGGAAAATGGTATGTTTTTCGGGATTGTAGAATACAGTTTCTGAAATATCATCTTGCATCTAATATATCCAGAGCTTACACTAGCAGTTCCCGGAAAATTTTTTGGTACCAGGTTATTAAGCAGATTTTCCTACTAAAAATATCTTCGAACTTCCCAGTGCGCCAACACAAATACATGGGCGGTATAATTGTATAATTTTAGAAAATATAAATTTCACTGCATTCATGCTAATTAATTTAATGCTTAATCAAGTTCTATTTAAATTAAAATAATAAACTACTAAGTTATGAGTCTCGTGTGTCAAATCCTATACGTGTTATACATAAGTTTCGACTCTGAACCATTATTTAAGAAAACCTGATCAAAAAGAAAGCAACAGTCTCCTACACATGCATTTTTATTTTTTAATAATATTTTCAAATACCTTCCTAGCATTATATCTATTTTTGTATTTTCAGCACACCCTGCTAGTAGCAGAAGTAACAGAGCAGCTGCGCGCGCGCTTCTTACCTTCTCCCGTGGTGATCAAGAAACGTATCGAGGGTCTCATAGAACGGGAGTACCTCGCGCGTACGCCAGACGACCGCAAGGTGTACACATACGTCGCATAGGTGCGTCTACACATATATACTACCAATTACAAGGTAAATCTTCGAAAATTTGATTTTATACAGTTTTGGCCCCATTTGATATATCACAAATAGTGCGCGTGTGTAAAGTAACTTTCATTTTAAAAACTTATTTCTAAGAGGAAAATAATAATTTGAACTTCAAAAATGCTATGGACACTTAGAAAGTAGTTTGCGTTGTTATGTTGGATATCTATTAGCGAAATCGCGTTACACGGGTTAAAATATGCTCATGCGCATCTTTCGGCGTCAGGGACTCAACAGTATGTCAGACATGCAAATTGAACAACTGTTTATATTAAGTTAGTACAATTAAGGCTATGTTCACATGTAACGCGCGTTAACGAGCGTCAACGCGCGATCAAATTTGAAGAGAGTTCAGATGATGAGCGCTAATGCGCGTTGCGAGAGTCCTCGTCAGTCTAGTTCGGTAGAACGTAGAAAATCCTTCCCAAGCACGTCGTTTCAAAATTTTGTTTTTATAGGATTCCGAACCTATATTCCAAATTGCTGGCCTTTTTTCTACTTTATCGATTAGTAAGTCGATGTCAATATCTTCAATTTCACTCATTTTTAATGCGAAAACAAAATATAATTACGAAAATTAACAAAATTACATGCGATGAAAGCGCGCGATCACCTGCGTCTAGAGACTTTTTCTCTGAGCGCCGCGTTAACGCTCGCTAACGCGCGCTCATGTGAACAGTTGTATGAAAATACCACAATGTCTAGTCGCGCGATTTGAAAACGCGCGTCAATGTTTTGCCATCTGAACATAGCCTTAAACGTATTCCTAATATTGTTTAAAACTAAGAAAAAAAGATTTCTCGTATTCACTTTCGAACATCTGTACATGTTGGCTCATTGCTTTTAAGGAAAATGTAATACTAGCAACCGTGACCCGAAACCTTAATAAATTGTATGCCTTCCTCTAGAATTCTAATCCTAGTTCTCTCATCTACCACGATTTTTCTCCAACTACCACGACTTAACTGTCTTTAAATTTTTCGGCCTATCACACATATAACGAGGTGAACGAATTTTCAAAATCAGTTCAGTAGATCTCTGATCAAACTTTACCTCTTTAATATTAGTATAGATTTATTTTAAGCATTTTAAAAATCTTGGCAGTAATCAATGTTTCATTACTTTCAGGCTAACAGCGAGACCGTAAATCTCTCGGGTGGACAAGTTAAAGTGATAGAAGTAACGAGAGTATTTAAATTATTGCTAAATAAAAATTATTAGTTAATACAAAACGTTTATTTTATTGTCAAAGCGAATATAAGCATTTCTCGAATATTAGAAGAAGTTTTTCGGCAGGTTTATGTTTAGGTGCGGTGCGCCGGCGAATTCTAAAGATTTTCTCAGCTCTAAAAAGCTCGTGTCTACGGTGATCACTGTCGAAAGGTCCTCTATGTCGAATGTTATATTTTGTGCGGTGCCTTTGACCTTCACATATACAAGTTGTTCACTTTCATACGCCATAACATATCCGATCCTCGCTATAATGTTGTTGCACGTCAATTCGTTATTTTTGAACACCCCATATATGTAGGTTCTTACGATTTGCATTCGTAGCCATTGCTCGTCGCTTAGACGTTCAGGATTACCATACGGCGATATATAGAGTGTAGAATTTAGTCCCAGTAAATTTAATATTTGATTTTGTATCAAATGACAAGCGGTCGTGCCATTTTTTAAGTCGATCTGTTGTATGTGGTATCTGCATTTGCTTCTTTTATTGTGTCCAAATTGGACTATTTTGTATCTAACATTTGATGATAGACATTTCCCGTTTCTGTTATCTGGATACGTAAGAATTCTTTTCTCATGAGTCTTATTGAAGAAATGCAGTGTATGGTTACTCTCGGCACTCGATATTATAATTGGTAGACCCCAATTGTATCCCGGATTTCCGCTTAATTTGATGACATTTTCTATAGAATCGTTGCTTAAATAAAATTTTACTTGAATAGTCTGTGTTATAAAAGGAATTCGCATGGACACTTTCTGAACGTGTAATTTTAATACAGCTTTTGTGATTCTTGAATTGTAATAATAGAAATTATATTGCACAGTAGTAGCGATGTTCTCGCAGTAAATATCGGTACAATGAGGTTCATCACCAGTTTTATTATATGCTCGGCAGTGATTGTCATCGCATATGACTAAAGTCCAATTTGTATGAAATTCGCTCTGCAAATATAAATCGTCTGAAAAGTACGTCTCTTTCTCTATTGTGTTGACACTGTTAAAAAGAGATAGCTAATGTATTTTACGAATGGTTAGTGTTAGTTATTTTGGCTAGATTTTAAAACGTTAAATACTCAATAAAATGTATGCGTTTTTTGTGACTCCGCAATTCCTACCAGCTTAACATACCTTCGTGGCATTAATTGTTTCCTCCATACTTAAGACGCTACTATTGGTGGCTTTTAAAGCTTGAAACATATGAAGATCCTTCAGCTTTACAATACATTTGACGTTTTCGTTTATTAAAAATCTTATTCGTCTTTTATCATTGCAATAATTGTTGGCGAATGCCATTGGAATATCTGAAATTGTATCACACATTTAACAAGAAAACGCGTTTATTTTTAATATTACAATTGTTTTGAGTTCATAAAACTACTTTCAAAATTACTAAGTGTGACGTTTACTGTAACATTTTTTAAACCGTACAATTAGCCATTAATTAAAATCAGTTAAATTATTTTTAGGCCTTAATTTTTCAAAATAAAAATATATTAAAACTGGTTAACACGTTGACCGTGCTACATAAACGCGATACACAATTCTTAAGATGTTCTTATATTTTTTTTTTAATATTGTAAAATTGTTAAAAATAAACGTATATTAAATATCTATACATGTATATATATATGTAAGCACCAACCGGCATGAAATCTTGACTCGTTCATCAACCATATTGGATCATTGTATTTATAAATACCCAACTCATTAAATTCTTCTTGCTTGTCACTAATACGCCACCTATGGTACCTATAAATTGCTGCCTCATCAAACTGTAATAGAAATATATAATATACCATTCATTAACGTAAATATTATGTATTTTGTTTTAACTATTTACCTGTATGTCTGTTAAGCGTTTATCGGGTAAGTTAGTTTTAGAAATACAAAATAAATTTTCTAAAAAATTCGTTTGTTTCATTTGACCTGAACTACAGGGATGTATGAATTGTTTGAGATATGTTTCTTTACAGTTTTGCGAGAATAACATTCTTTCTGTATCCGAACAATCGGTATCACAGCAACAATTAATATCACATGTTTTATACTGGAAAAAAATAAAATGTTAAATTAAAAAGAATCAGAAAACTGAAAGAAATAAGCGTCGCCCGTGCCTTTCTCAATAACTAATGAGTAATTATTTTTGGGACAAAAATATTTATTTAAAATCTTAAGAACCCCAAATAATATTTCCATTCATCTATTTATAGCATTAAGTTCACACCGACCCGAACAATTCTTGTTTCGCTATGCAAACTGATTCAATAGAGTCTTTAATTTTAAGCTGGAAAAATAACCCGAACATTACATTAAACCAATAAATCACAAACCAAAATATTGCATCCACATCTCCCTTCAGACTTCTTTCGTAAACTTGGTTTAGTTGTAATATTCTTATTGAATAACGTCACTTCAGTAACATTCTCATAATCAGAAGTCGTGATGTCGGTTAAGAAATTTTCTTCTGTAGTTGAGATATTTTCATCATAAACCCAGTCTAGTATAGTGCTGGACGTCTCTGTTGTCATGTCTATTGAGATGTTTGATAAGGTCTGATAAAACAAACCATGGGGCTTCTCAACGATCCTAGCCATGGCTTGTAAATTGCGCCTTAACATTTTACTTTTATTCTTTTCCTCAATAGTAACGTTTATGAAGTCCATAACACAAAATTGAATTAAAATAGACACCAAAGTAAAAACAAGGTATGTTATTGGCTGCATTATTTATACTCTACTCCAAATTGAGTGAAATTCCTTAAAATTATACAAATGTTAATTTCTATAAACCCTTTTGACTGTGTGCTTAACTTGAATCTGTAAAAGAATTTTGATTATTAAAAGCTCTATATTATATTAATAAAAAAGAAAACACACATTTACAATGAACAATAAATGATTGCTATATTATTTAAAATGTAAATAAGACAATAGTTAAAAGTTTAACTACAAGTACAGATAAATAATTATTCAAATAAAATATGTGGTATTAACCAGATTACTACTTCAGTCTTCAGTTACTATATTTTAATATCTATTACAGATTATCTGCAAGATTTCAAATTATTTAATATATAAGTTATAAAAAATAATATTATAATCTAAATATATGTAGGAGACCCCAACTAAAAGCATAGGACTTTCTTTATGTAGTCTGGGCAATATCCCACACTACATAAATGTTCTTCTCATTCATCTCCCACTATTCAAGTATAGAATTAGAATAAAATTACCTATCATTTCCTAAACTAATAATATCATTTTGTGTTATTTGATGAGATCCACCAAGAAAATATTGTCTTAAGCTATCTGATATTGAAGTTGCAGCAGGCAGCCAGCAAGGTACTCTTATTGTATGATAACCTGGCACTGTGGGGAGACTAGTACAGCCATAGCCTACCACCCATGATCTTTCTAATGAGTCAAGACAGTTGACATGAAAAACCAACTTTGGCCAACCTATAAAATAAGAAAACTTATGTATTATGTTTGTATTAAAAGTGCTAACAACAGGAACGAAATTTTATTATTATTTTAAATAGTTGAAATCGAGGAAAGCTATAAGAAAACGTCACACTTCAAACTCATTGGCAGTTAAAAATAAGCCACAATCCATATTAAGTAATAATTTTTATACTACATTTGAGGTGAAATATATAAGAGAAAAATAATTAGAGAGAGCGAAAGATTGTATGTCATTGATTTTCAGTGTTTTTATACCTTGTATACCGCGAGTTACAAAATGTATATCAAGCGGATGAGCCCATATAACAGAATTATCAGTATTGGGTTTTCCAGTTGATGTCTGACCCTCGGTGCATCCTGAAAGTAGTGTCCAATTGGGACCTACAAGAAAAATATACCGTGATGAAACTAATGGTGCAAAGCATTGTAAGGATAATTTTAAAATGTTGAATACATACCTGCTTGAACCGTGTATCGACAATACAAAGAATAACCCTCTGTAAAATGCTGTGCACAATTTAAATGTCCTAAAATGTGCAGTTCTGCCATGGAATCACATATATTTAGGTAAAAAATCTTATAAATTCATATTCGAACAGAAGAAATATTCTCTAGTTTTGCGCTTGTTTATTTTTTGTTGTCATGGAAACTGCATAATGCAGTAAGTTTGAACTTTGGCAGGATGTGACGACTGACGTATATACTTCTATTTACTTTGAATTTCACCAATCAGATTCACGAATGTAATCTTATCAGTTGTAAATGCCAGGGGCCTTAGTCAAGATGATTTAACAGCTGTAGTGTATGTAGAACGTCAAAAACTAAATTTGTATGAAAACTTTTCGACACGAACTGTCATTTCCATACAAATTAAGTTTTCGACTTTCTACATACACTACTGTTAAGGCATCTTGACTAAGGCCCCAGGTCATACAATCCCAAAAAAAAAAAAACTAAATTATAACAACTCTCTTTTGTCTTTGATTTCCATTCAAAAATAAGCCAAGGTCATGTGCTTGTTATGATTTATTATTTTGATTTTATTTTATTTATTTCATACTCATAATATATAACCTACGGAATACGGATTCCTTTTAACATAGAAATAGTAAATAGTTTATGAAAATGTACAAAAGTTTGTAGTTGCCGTTTGAAGTTTAAGAACGGACAAAAAAACGCCGGGTTCTAACTTCTAAAGTTGCATTGCACTTAGGCTAAATATTCGAATTATGACCGCACTCCAAAATGATGCTTACAAAGTTTGATGGGAAGTTACAGGCTAATGGGATTTAATCCTGTCCGAGTTAATTGGTGTTCTCTAGTGATTGTAACCCATCAAAAACATGGCTTTGGAACAATCGTTGATAGAAATATGTTCGGGTCTCACCTCGATACGTGTTAATGAGAGAAAGAAAAATGCTGAAACTTTAAAAGATATGCTCAGTAGATCTGCTATGCCTAGCTTACTTACAGAAAACACTCGCAAGAAGTCAGGTTACACTTGGAACCAAGTTTTTAATGATATCAATGAATATATACTCAAAGTGAGTAATAAATAAAATGTATATATTATATACATAATGATAATTTAAATTTTTTAGTAATTTTCTACCTGACCTTGATTTAAAAATTATGTGTTATAATTTTAAATAATATTTTCAATAATTAATAATAATATTTAATAAATTGATTGGTTATTAAATTTATTCTAGGAAACTGAAAAATATGAAACAAATAAGAATTTTGATAATATTATTGGGACTTCAACTAGTCTTCTGAATTTATGTGTTTCTGGGTCAAATAAAGGTAAATACTATCAATTATTTGCTTGGATGTACTTAATAATGCCTCTGGCAAATATGTAAAGCATTTAATTTTTTCCATGTGTAAAACTACACTACAGATCCATCTGAAACAGTTATTATCTTTTATAGCTTAAGACATGCTTATTGAAAGTGTCAGTGACATAGAGACAGGATATGCCCATTCTAGAATATAAAGGGTTCAATTCGAAACACTTTGAATATATGTTAGAACCTCTGCAGTACACAATGAACTTTCCTGCGTTGCACACTTTTGTAAACAAACTTGTACCTGCAAGGAAAACATTATTAAAAAACTAGACTATTTAGTATGGCATCTACTGTATTGTTCTTGCCTATTCTAGAAATTACTAATATTATAATATAGTCATAATTTTGGAACATGTAAATTAGTATTATATATTTCCAGGTGGTGCTCATATAAAATGCGACCTTATTATGGAGGCTTGTATAAATATATTTAATGATATTCGTTTAAGAAAAGCTATTGGAGATGCATATTATAGTGTCCTTTATAAACATGTCTTGGACAATGATTATTATATAGGATTCATTACTCCATCGATGTGGGAAAGTATGTTTCATTATTTATTTATATTTGTACATTTAATAAAGGTAACTTAAAACTATTATTGGAGATTTGAACTCACATATAAAATGCAGTAATGTATATTTTTTAATTTTTGTGCCTGTCTTTCTGGATGTATATAATACTCTCTTAGAAATACCAATCAGATGCTTTTCGGCTAATACATATAGCTCAGCTCAAAACAATATGTAGGCTTTCTGTAATTAAATCTGTTCTCAGGAAAAAAATAAATAACAGAATTATATATTATACATAATTATAGATAACAGTCTCACTGGTCAAAAATTTCATAATAAATGTGATAAAAATTGGTTCATACTGTATAAATCAAAGCAAATGCTTGCAGGCGAAATTGAGAACATCAACTAGTAATCAATATATTGTAATCCCTCGCTAATATGTGTCTGTTGCACATCAAGGCAAAATCTGATTATTTGAAACTGTTACATCACTAACAAGAAAAAACATGTTTTTTTACTACTCATTTATAATAGTTAAGTAAATTTTATTGCAATTTATATTATCTATGAAACAGATGATATTTATAATATTAAGAAATAAAAAATAAGTGTTATTACAGATTTACTGGAAGCCTGTGTGAACCTCTGTTTAACGAATTCATCTCATATGGACATTTTAACAAAGTTCAAATTACTATGGCTGGTTATTAAAAATGCCAGCAACACTGTTCAATTTGTTGTATGCCTGAGAGATTCATTGGGAGATATAAATAAATGTTTAAAAAAAATAATGGACAACAAAAAAACACAGGACTTTGTTATGAAGATTTTCATACTATTGGTGGAGTTGGTAATTGTTTTTTTTTTATTTTGGAGTTTATGGCCTGGTATCTAGACCTTTAGGCCAATGGTAATTGTTTTTATTATATAACCACAGAGCAACGTCTCGTTTTTACGATAGTTATAGACTATATTTAGATCTCTATAATGTAGATTATTATAATTAGAAGTCAGAGTTGCCATTAAACTGCAGAATAGGCATATAAATTGCTTTAAAAAATTTTTTTTTCATCTACCATATCCTTTTATTTCACACCAGTAACACATATTTAACAACTCAAATTAATATGTATTTTTGTTTAAATCTATGCCAACGCAAAGTTTTAAAGTGCAAATAATATTATACTAGATTTAATCACATATTTTTGAAATGTGGATTTTTAAATTAAATGTATGTAATACTTAAATATATATTATATTAATGTTAGTGATGTGTTTCAGCTGTCCACAGAATCTCGTAATATAATCTGCGAGTTCACTGAAAATGTACTTCCTATGATATTTAAATTCTATGACCACAGTATGGATGTTAAGAAAAAGGTTTGTCATCTTCAATTCATTCTCATATCTTCAGAAATGAATCGTATTAACTGGAGACGTATAAATCTTAAGTGATACATGTATCTTATGTTCCATAATAAACATATTTTATTTTTACTTTATAGTATAGAATACAATGCAATTATATATTATATAATTGCATTATATACTATACATGATACATAATACACTACATAGTATAAAACAAAGTCGCTTTTACTGTCCCTATATCCCTTTGTATGCTTAAATCTTTAAAACTACGCAACGGATTTTGATGCGGTTTTTTAATAGATAGAGTGATTGAAGATGAAGGTTTATATGTATAGTAACATCCATTAAATAGTGGAGAAATAGTGTTATTTTTGAGGTTTCTAATGTGCTGTCGTAAATAATTCATTTTTTCCGCTTACATTGCATTGCAAATGAACCCTACGAGATTTATCATAATAATGTACTAAGTATTGTACACATTGAAAAAGTCTACAGAAAACTCCGCGATGGTATATGTCTATCTGTTATGGATATCCCACAATAACATTTTTTTTTATCATTTATTTTTTACGACAAATAATGGCTAATTTTCGAAGCGATTTTAACCAATACAGCATTAATCCTTATCCAATTATTTTTATTTATTTATTGTATTAATGTAATTACCTTATTGAAATCCTAAATTAAGTTTAACTAAAGTTAACACAATATTATTAGACTGTTAGGCGAAACGAAGTTAGCCGGGTCAGGTAGTTAATTATAAAGAAATGTTTTTTGATTACGCTCTCGAAACTCCCAGTTTATATTATCACCTCGACGTCCGTCGTTCCACAACTAAGTGTTATTAATCCAGTTTTTGCCGCAAAAAATATGTGGAACCAGCTACAAACCGAACCGAACTAATTCGACTTATGGTTCAAGAAAAAAGCGTACCAATTCTTAAAAGGCCGGCAACGGACTCGCATTGAGTGTGTCCATCTTTAAAACGTTCCTAACAGCCTATAATTATAGCGTTTCATGTCATTTAAAAAGTATGTGTAAAAATGTGTTTAATATAATATTTGCCTTGAATTTCCACATATAACTGAGTGTTCTTGTAAATATGCTTTACATGACTTAGAACCTCTGGTTAAGTCAGTTCGGCCAAGTACCTATACGTACGCCTATCGATCGACAAGGGTATCATGTGTATTTTCTATGAAAGTTCCTTTTTTTTCTAAAAAAGCGGTGCCGTTAACTAACGGCCGTCATTTCATGGTTGTTAATAACGGCCGTCTTTACGGTGGCCGAGCTGTGGTTTCCTAGAAAGTAGTGCGACCGTATTTTTTAAGTGTTATTCCAATTTATTAAATATGCGCACCGCTACACTACTGTTTATCACCGCTATAACGGCCGTCATGCAAACGACAGCACCGCTATTTGACGTTTCGGTGACACTCAACGTTCTCTAGAAAACCTACTCCGATGTTATTTATAGACAACGTATGGGTGACGTCACCCAACGTTACATTTCGGCCGTTAGTTAACGGCACCGCTTTTGTAGGAAACCGTAGCTTAAGACACTTTTTTCGTAAAATATATAAAGATTCTGTTTCGGAAGCGCTGAATTTATACTTAAAACAAATATTACCGATTTTTTGTCGTATTTTTGACATGTTGATTCTTTGCAGTCTTTGTTATTCAAGGCGTTAAGCGTCGCAGTGACGCTTCACCACCCCTGTGGCAGATTAAAAAATGAGGAGGCTAGTTTAGCACACGACTGGGACGTGTGGTATAAACTTTTACATAATGTGCTAGAAATAGTTT